CAGGGATTGAACTCAGGCTCTTGAGCTTGCCAGGCAAGTGCTTATTCTACGGAGCTATCTCCCTGACCCCTACAATAATGTTAATGACACAAAAATAATCCGGATGCGGCACACAGAGAATACCTATCAATAGCAACAACTGTGCCACCCTGGCAGTAGCAACTCAGTCAGCAGCAGTAATAGCATCAAAGATGTTCTGGATCTTGGCATGACCTAAGGACCACTCGCGCACCACCCTAGGCCACAAAGAGCTCTATAATTGTAGTATAAGCACTAAGACAAGCAAATATTAAGTAAATATCTACAGAATGCAACAACTGTGTCTCCACTAACAATAGAAAATAATTCAACAGCAATAAGATAGAGTTAAGTATCTAGAGATTAATAAAGCTTAATGGTTATATTAGGAAAGATAGAGGGGATGGGGAATGGGAGAACAAAATGAGAAAATTTTGAAAAATTAATAAAGATGAGGGGCCCAGGGAGATAGCTCAGTAGAATAAACTCTTGCCTGGCAAGCACAGGGTCTTGAGTTCAATCCCCGGTACCGAACAAAAAGAGGAGGAGGAGGAGAGAAAAGTGAGAAAGTATCCTCCTAAGGAGTAAAAAGAAATTAATAGCAATAGATAAAGGTAAAATGAAAGAAAAAAGAGAAAAGAAAAATTACAATTACAAGAAAACACGAAAAGAAAATAAAACAGAAAAACCAATGGAGATAATAGAGGGGAAATAAGTAAAACAAATTCTTCTGTATTTCTGTTTTTGTTTTTTGTTTTTTTTTTTTTTTGGAACAGGGGATTGAACTCAGACCCTTGTGCTTGCCAGGGAAGCACTTATTCTATTGAGCCATCTACCAGCCCTCTTCTGTATTTCTGAATAAGTGGTTTCTTTTCAGGACCCACAGTTTTGGAATCTTAGAAGTCATGGTTGTATCTGCCTAGCTTCATGGCCTGTGGGTTCTGAGCTGCCCCATTCCAAAGGCCTCTCTGTCCGTTCACCCCAGGCTGTGGCAACTGTGTGAGCCACAGCACCTTGTTCACAATGGTAGATGGGGAAGCAATCAGACCTCTGATCTGTGCCGAACATAGGCAGCATGGTGCAGGCTCAGGTAGACCACAGTACTTAATGGCAGCCATCTCAGACCCAGCCACCTCTGAAAGCTACACATCCTGGGCCTGGCCTCTCACCACAGAGGGCTAGGCCCTGTGTCTCTCCCAGCCTGAGTTTAAACTTCTCAGGAAGCCAATGTCTGCCATACTCTCTCAGGACCGTCTCCTGTGGCTGTCTCCTACCCAGTCACTGTGGGAGGCTATTATAGTTTATACACTATGGTTTACAACTAGATGCCCCCAAAGCCTCATGTGCTCATAGGCAAGGGTCTGGAAAGGCGATGGGCTCACAGGAGCTGTACATTCACCAGTGGACTGGTCTGCTACTGAATCTACAGCTAGAGGAGATGTTGGGAGAAGAAGCCTGGTAAGAGGTGGCGGGATGCTTCGGGCATGGCTGGGAAGGGTGCCTCTCCCCCTCCACTCCCTTGACATTTTTCTCTCAGCCTCCCTGCTGCCATGCTACAAGCCAGCTCTCCTCAGCCACACCCTGTGCAATGCCACCTTGCCTTGGGGCCAGTTGGTAATGCACTGAAACCTCTACAAACTATGAGCCAAATAAACCTTCCCTTCTTTAAATTGCAGGTATTGGGTACTGTGTTCCAGTGTCAAATAACTAAGACAGAGGACAACACTGGGAACTCTGAAGAGAAGTTTTCTAGTTGTTCTGTGGCTCAGTCTTAATCATTTCCTGAAATAACAGCAGATGAAACCCTCTCCAGTATAGTGGGTGCTGCCCAGATTCCATTCCAATTCTCGTATGCTGCGTGGGCTAGAGGTGTCCCTCTCCGGGCACAGTCTCCCACTGTCTGTGCAGGTTACACACCATGAGCTTCTCCTGGGACTAGGGCTGCTTGCCCAGTCGTTTCGCCCTGTGCTCCCGACCCTGGAGGCTTTCCATGTGTCTGTGAGTACAGCTTCTCTCTCTCTCTCTCTCTCTCTCTCTCTCTCTCTCTCTCTCTCTCTCTCTCTTTCAGAATCGGAGATTGAACTCAGGCCCTTGGGCTTGCCAGGGAAGCACTTATTCCACTGAGCCATCTCCCCGACCCAAGTGCAGCTTCTCTTGTTGGGGAGCCTTCAGGCTCCTAATTCCTTCCTCTGTATTGTGGTCCATGGCTGCGCTTCCCCACAGTCTCCAATTTTCCTGTCAGTTCTCTCCCAGTTTCCAGAGTCTGTTTTTTTTTTTTTTTCCCTTCACCAAGCTGTTATTTTCCAGGTGTCTGGATTCACAGGCCCTGAAGAGGCTGTGCTTTGACACTGATCACTACCCTGCCATCTTGGTTCTCCGTTCCTTGCTATTCTGAGTTGTTCTTTTCTGTTGGGGCTTCAGCTCTTTGCCCATGTTAAAGATTAAGTCTAAAATCCTGAGTAGAAGTTATGTGTGCAAGAGCATGTCCTGCTGCCCATGGGGTGAACGAGCTGTACCCTGCAGGGACCGGGGATGTGCTGGCCATTCAACTCTAAAGAGAAATCACAAGGGCTTCCTTCCATGAAAGGGAAGGGTTCACCCCCAGCCATGTGCATACAGGACACACAGATGTACAGGCCCCAAACAATATTCCACAATCAGATGAGGATCACACTCTTAGTCTTAGCTTTCTTTTTCTGTTTTCTTTTCCTTTCTTTTATTTTTTTGGCGGAACCAGGAATTGAACTCAGGCCCTCCTGCTTGCCAGAGAAGCGCTTATTCTACTGAGTCATCTCCCTGGGCCTCTTTTTCTGTTTTCTTTCATTTTGTTTTTGTTTCCTGAGGTAGGGACTCATTCTATAGCCAAAACTGGACTTGAACTTTGGATTCTCCAGGCTGGGCCTCGCAAGCACTCAAGGCTTAACTAGCACAGAAGGCTCTCTCAGCTCTTTCTTAACCTCAGGGTCAGAGAGGCCAGAAGCAACCCTTATTTTCTGAAGACACATTTGCTTATAGCACTCCTTTGCTTTAGTCATGTCAGAAAAGGTCTTCTAAAATTTCTAGTTTCGGCTCGGGGAGACGGCTCAGTGGAATAAGCGCTTCCCTGGCAAGCGCAAGGGCCTGAGTTCAATCCC